AACTGCTCCTGAATGTAAGCACAGAACTGGAGACAAATGAATGTCCTAAACAATTAACTTGTGGGGTGACTTGAGAGGCAGCAGGAAAACTCAAGGGACATTCTGTTAGTATGCTGTCAATGTTAATTCCTTACTTTGATGATACCGTGGTTACAGCGGTAAATGTTCCTGACTTTAGGAAAGACATAGGAAAGCATTCAGGTGTGAAGGGATTTGATGTTGCAACTTCCAAGTGGTTCAGAAAAAATTTCGGCCCAGCTACCCAGCTACCTGTAAGAGAATGAATGATTCTGACCTGGCCCTTGAAACACCTGCCACAGCAGCATTCTTCTACACTCCATTCAACCCTAAAGGGATGCAGGTGCTTGGGTAATCTGAACATCCACTGACACCAAGCCCGTGAGTGCAGCACTTGGTACTGAAGCCCGTGAATGCGGCCAATGACAGGACCTTCCCTCTTCTGCTCTCCAGCTCTCCTCGTCCCCTGCCAGTGAGGGCAGCGTGACAGGGAGCCGAGGCACTCGCCAGACCAAGCCGAAGGAAACCAACTTGCCCTAATGTTAAGGTAAATCTTAGCAGTCTTACTCTAAGGCCTCAGCAATTTCTTAGGAAGGAGGAAAAGGTGATTTGAATCAGTCTGATGTTTCATTATTTTTGTAAAATAGTGTATTTTAGATCTTTATGAGTTCTGAATTATGAGTGCTTTCAAACATCTACTTTGAAACAATTACATACTTACAGAAAAGTTCCACGAACCCACTTCACGGGCACAGACCTCCTCCAAGTTCTCCAGGGGCTAACGCTTCACTTCCCGAGTTCTCTCTCTCTCTCTGGGGGTGGAGAGAATGAAATCTTTTTTCCTAAATCATACAGCTAAATAGTCGTCTTTAAAAGGTAAAGAAAAGGTATACTAGCAAAGCTTGTCTTTTTTTTTTTTTTTTTTTAGAGGAGTCTTGCTCTTTCGTCCAGGCTGGAGTGAAGTGGCACAATCTTGGCACACTGCAATCTCCCCCTGCGGGTTGAAGTGATTCTCCTGCCTCAGCCTCCCAAGGAGCTGGGATTATAGGCATGTGCCACCACATCCAGCTAATTTTTGTATTTTTACTAGAGACTGTTTTGCCACGTGGCCAGGCTGGTCTCGAACTCCTGACTTCAGGCGATCCACCTGTCTCAGCCTCCCAAAGTGCTAGGATTAGAGGCGTTAAGCCACCGTGCCCGGCCAAGCTCGTCTTTTAAAATAAACATTCACTGTTACTCTAAACAAAATATAAAAAAATAAATTTTATTTACACACTTCAATACATTAAAGTTTGTTCCTTACACCTCTAAAGACGAGATTCCCTACATGAGCAGTTCTCAAACTGCACTGCAGAGCCCACAAGTTCATACCTAACACTGAGCGTTGTCTAAGCATCCTGTAGTACTTTGTGTATTTTCAATTGCATTGTAATGAATTTTTAAAAACTTATATATTTAAAAGCAATTCTGAATTCATAGCTTTTAGTCAAGATGTATTTACTATTTATACTAAAGTATAATGACTATTTAACAGCCCACATACGTTGGGTTTTTTGTTTTGAGACAGAGTTTCACTCTTGTCACCCAGGCTGACGTCCAGTGGCGCCATCTCTGCTCACTGCAATATCCACCTCCCAGGTTCAATCGATTCTCCTACCTCAGCCTCCCGAGTAGATGGGATTACAAGTGCCTGCCACCAGGCCCAACTAAGTTTTGTATTTTTGGTAGAGACAGGGTTTTGTCATGTTGGCCAGGCTGGTCTCAAACTCTTGAGCTCAAGTGATCCACCCGCCTCAGCCTCCCAAAGTGCTGAGATTACAGACGTGAGCCACCCCACCTGGCCCCATAAATTGTTAAAATGTGCAGACTTACAGGCAATCTACCATATATGAAATGCAAACCTTAGCTAATAATTTAAGTCATAAATATACCCTATAGCAAAGATAGGTATTTTTGTTTTAATAATAAAAGACAACATAAAAATGGAATTGTTTACAGAAATTTATCTTCTGCAGAAAAATCAGCTTCGGTTCATCTCTACCTCAAACAAGGGTTACTGCATATGATATATAAGGCAGTTAGATGGTGCCACTGTTGTGATACTTTAATCTTAGTAGCTCCACCCATAATTAATTCTTACTGACATGGGTTACATTTTTTTTTGTTTTGAGACAGAGTCTCGCTCCGTTGCCAGAATGGAGTGCAGTGGCACAATCTCGGCTCACCGCAACCTCCGCCTCCTGGGTTCAAGCAATTCTCCTGCCTCAGCCTCCTGGGTAGCTGGGATTACAGGCACGCGCCACCATGCCCAGCTAATTTTTGTATTTTTAGTAGAGATGGGGTTTCACCATGTTGGCCAGAATGGTCTCGATCTCCTGACCTCGTGATCCACCTGCCTCGGCCTCCCAAAGTGCTGGGATTACAGGCGTGAGCCACCGCGCCCGGCCAACATCGGTTATATCAGTGCTACTCCAATGTGGTCTATTCACAGGCTGCCAGGAATCCTCTTGGTCTGCGGGGCTGGGGGCTTGTATCAGAATGCAAATCAACTGTGGCGTTAAGCACAATTTTGCTCAACTGACATTGTTTTCTTCATAGCACGACTTTCTTGAGGAAGGAAGCAGTGTGTTGATTTATTCCCCAGCCCAAGCTCCTTATCTTACTGTGAAGCTACCCATCCAGTAGAACTCATCTGTTATACCCAATCACCACCCAGCAAAGACATTCTTGTTAAAAAGCTCCTTAACAAAGGGAAGACTTTCACTTAATTCACTCCCTTACTACCTGTCACCGTATTTGCCCCTGAATTCAGAACCTGCTAGAAGAGAGACATTGCCGTCGGGTCGAATGACCTTGCCAAAGGCAGGGACAGGATGTCTGCAGGTGGAGGACACAGTCTCTGTGCTGCTTTACAGTCACCTTCTGCATCTGCATGTTCCTTGCACACACTTCAAAGCTTAAACCGTTAGCTTAGGGATAACAGAGATGCTTATGACTTCACATTATGATTGTGAAACATAACGTGCTACAGGGCCAAGTTAAAACAAACTCTGAGGCCAGGCATGGGAGCTCACACCTATAATCCTTGTGCTTGGCAGGCCAAGGCGAGGGGATCACTTGAGGCCAGGAGTTCAAGCCCAGCCTGTATAACACAGGGAGCTCTTGTCTCTATCAACCGTGGTCCTAGCTACTCGGGAGGCTGAGGCAGAAGGATTGCTTCAGTCCAGGAATTCAAGGCTGCGGTGACTATGATCGCGTCACTGCACTCCAGCTGGGTGACAGAGAACCTGTCTCTCTCTTAAAAAAAAAAAAAAATGTGTGTGTGTGTGTGTATGTGTATATATATATATATATATATCTGAAAGTGCCACAAAGGGGGTGTTTTGCATGGGAGTGACATCACCAGCACCTGTGCCCATCTGCCCAACATGACTACTTGGAAGAGGACAGCAGCAGCTGGACAGATGGGTTCTGCACATATGTAGCTTCTCAGTGTCTATTCTATATCCACATCTTAGTGACTTTTTTCAACAATCAAAGGTTAAGTCTGTAGCGCTTGAGAGAGAAAAGGAAAATGTAAGTACTGGGAAACACTCAACATCTGGGTATCTGCTAGAGAGGCTGGGTGTCCAGGGCCATTTCTACTTCCTCACAGAATTGGTTTCCCAGACTTAGCGAGTGGGGTGTGTTTGTTTCCCTTACAAGATAAATGCCAGTTAGTTCTCTGCAGGCAGTAATTATGTTTTCTTCATGTTTACATCTCCAAATCCTTGCACACAAGCATCACCTATTAAGAGTCAAATAACTAGGCTGGGCGTGGGGGCTCACGCCTGTAATCCAAGCACTTTGGAGGCTAAGGTGTGCGGATCACCTGAGGTCGGGAGTTCAAGACCAGCCTGACCAACATGGTGAAACCCCGTCTTAAAAAAAAAAAAAAAAGAGTCAAATAACTACTATTTGGTGTCCTCAGAGTTCCTTAAGAAAGTACATTTGCGATCTGGAGTTAGTGAGATGAATATCCTCTACTTTGTCAAAATGCTGCGTGAGTGACGATGAAAGTCACCTGTCTGTACTGTATCGTACAGAAGACCATATCCACAGGGCTTACGTCAACTGATTTTTCCAAAGTTCAGCTGCATCCCAAATACTTAAAATATCAAGGATCACATGTAAGCCGGACACAGTGGCTTGTGCCTATAATCCCAGCACTTTGGGAGGCTGAGGCAGGTGGATCACCTGAGGTCAGGAGTTCAAGACCATCTTGGCCAACATGGTGAAACCCCATCTCTACTGAAAATACAAAAATTAGCCAGGCGTGGTGGTGTGCGTCTGTAGTACTAGCCACTCAGGAGCCTGAGGCAGGAGAATCGCTTGAACCCAGGAGGGAGAGGTTGCAGTGAGCCAAGATCGCGTACCACTGCACTCCAGCCTGGGCAACAGAGTGAGACTCTGTCTCAATACTTTAAAAAGGTAAAAACTCATCAATTTCTTTATAACTGCACCCTCTAGTGGCCTATCTTATCTATTAATTTTTTTTTGACAGTCTCTCTGTCAGTCTCACTGTCCAGCCCAGGCTGGAGTGCAGTGGTGCAATCTTGGCTCACTGCAACTACTTCCAGGCTTCAAGTGATTTTTGTGCCTCAGCCACCCCAGTAGCTGTGATCTACTGGCATGTGCCACATGCCTGACTAATTTTTGTATTTTTAGTAGAGATGGGGTTTCGCTATGTTGCCCAGGCTGGTTTCAAATTCCTGGCCTGAAGTGATTGCCTGCCTCAGCCTCCCAAAGTGCTGGGATTACAGGGGTGAGCCATCAGGTTTGGCCATATCTACTGAAAAATTTCAAGACAGTCACACCCCAGCCTCACTGCTCAGAGAACCCTGTCCCGTGTGCCTGCACCTCCTTTCCCTGCCTCCTTCTCTCACCCCCAAGACACAGTTATTTGAAAATGGTTTGAAATACAAACTATAAAACCTTAGATAAAAGAAATTATCTCAAAACATAATACCGTAACAGATAATGACATGGCTCCACCAAACTTTCACACGCAGTCAACAGAACAAGCCTTTGGGTTTACAAAGGACAGTTTACAGCCAAAGGTCCACCTGCGCGCCTTTCTTCCCTGACTACAGTCTCAGGGAAGCTTTTCCCTGCAGAGCCTTTGTAGCAAGGTCAGCTCTCGCTCTCAGCAGGCTGGCTTCCTCGGCGCTTCTCTGGGCCTGTGCGTTCTTTAGCAAGAAGTGGCTGATGAACAGCTTCAAGCCCTCACGCAGTATCCCCAGCTTTGGGTTGTCAGACACTCTGGAAAGGAATCGTGTAAACATGTCAGGGATGAGTGAGCCGCTCCTGGATCTGCCAGCAGTGTATGGGGATCTCCAAGGCCCGCATCCTTGCCAACAGGTGTTCATTTCTTAGCTCCGGAAACAGCTTCTTAAATCAAGGGTGGGGGAGTGGGGTGGGGGGAGAGGAGCTTCTTAAATAGGGTGGGGGGTAAGGGGTGGGGTGGGGGGAGAGTAATTTTTATCTTGAATAGTGAGACATAACCAGTTTCTTTTAAAAATAGAATTCTCATAAGGAATTCCTGGCCAGGTGCGGTGGCTCACGCCTGTAATCCCAGCACTTTGGGAGGCCGAGGTGGTCAGAAGTTCAAGACCAGCCTGACCAACATGGCGAAACTCCGTCTCTACTAAAACACCATATATATATATATATATATATATATATATATATATATGTATTAGCTGGGCATGATGGCATGTGCCTGTAGTCCCAGCTACTTGGGAGGCTGAGGCAGGGGAATCGCTTTGAACCCGGGAGGCGGAGGTTGCAATAAACCGAGATTACACCACTGCACTCCAGTCTGGTGACAGAATGAGACTCCATCTCAAAAAACAAACCATCAAAAAACACAAAGACCTTATTTTATTATTACCAACCACTGTTCATTGTTAGTTTACTAGTGGACAAGTTTCTGCTCCCCAAATCTAATACTGCATACTAGCTTAAAAATAAAACTGAAATGATTTATTAAGCTACACAGAGCACAACCTTGTGTTTATAAATCAACACGAGCGCAAACCATCTCCTCATCTCTCTTCCACGTCTCATCAGAACAAGTGGGGCACATACCTTGTGAAAATTAAACCGAGGTCTTCAACTTCTGTTTCCATTAACAGGATACTTAACACTTTTCGTAAAAAGTGGACTCTGGGTTTGTCCAATTCACTGAATTCAACTACCTAATGGTCAGGACATAGGGAAAAATGTTACATTGATTTAGCCAACTTTTTCAATGATTTGTAAGTATAGTTAGAGTAAAAATTAATCTCCCCCCACCCCACCCCCCACTCTACCCCTGATTTAAGAAGCTATTTCCAGAGCTGCTGGCAAGGATGTGGGCCTTGGGAACCCGTATACAGTGCGGGCAGAGGCGTGGCCGGCTGCAGCTACTGTTGAGAACAACTCAGCAGTGTAAGTGGAATACTTACACTGGCATACTCCTTATGAATCAGAAATTTAGTATCTAGAACTGAAACATAAATTATCTCCATCCCCTGAAGTACCCATCCCCTAAATAAAACTATACATATATAAAATTTACTTCCAGAAAACGAATCCATGTGTATCTCTCTCCTAGAAAACTATAAAAAATCAGAAGTAACTAAAACGCGGATAGGTAGAATAAACATGTGAACTGGAGGAAACGTACACAGTAAGATGCTACCCAGAAAAGACACACGCCAACACGGACGGACTGCATCTCAGCTGAATGTCAGTGAGCTGGAGGAGGGTACCGGCCTCTTCCAGCTCACTGACAGGGATGCTGCCCATTGGGAGCTCCGCAGCCAACACCATCACAGGCGCTTGCAGACCCGAGGGCACAGCGAGACCACAAAAGCATGGCCAAAACCCAGAGAAACTGGGAATGAGGGCAGCCAGGCTGGGAGGGGCATCTCTAAAGCTCTGCGCCTCTCCCACTCCTCTGTGGCAGCATCCATGCTATTCCAGATGAGCGCAATGCCTGAAGTGGGGCGGAGGAGGAACAACGCCTCTTCCATGTTCTAAGTTATTCAGGTTGTCAGAATTTGGCATAAGGCTCAGGACCGTCGTTTTCAGTACAGTGGCCACACTTGGACACCACACAGGAAGGGACAGGCAGTGAACTGGAGCAGGTATGCTGATGAGCGCACAGGACACATGGAAACACACGGACACCTGTGGCGGTGGCTGTCTTGCAGATCAGGCCACTGTAGTTGACGCCCCTGAACTATCGCTGCTTTTCACTTCCCTTTGCCCCTCAGGCTCTCCAAATTTTTAGGCTTTTCAGGGTCTGGTGGTCCCACCATCTGAGCCTTACGAGCCCACTCTGAACGCCCACTACATCTGATAAGGTGTCTAGGTTTCAGCTGGGCGTGGTGGCTCACACTTGTAATCCCAGCACTTCGGGAGGCCAAGGCGGGCAGATCACAAGATCAGGAGTTCGAGACCAGCCTGGCCAACGTGGTGAAACCCCGTCTCTACTAAAAACACAAAAATTAGCCGGGCATGGTGGCGGGTACCTACAGTCCCAGCTACTCAGGAGGCTGAGGCAGGAGAATTGCTTGAATCCAGGAGGCGGAGGCTGCAGTGAGCTGAGATCGTGCCACTGCACTCCAGCCGGGGTGACAGAGCAACATTTCATCTCAAAAGAAAAAAAAGATGTCTAGGTTTCATGGTCCACTGCAAAGTCCCAAAATACAGCAGGGCAGGAGAAAGCCTACAGTTTTAAAACAAGTTACATCAAAGTGAGCAAACGCACTTCACCTCTACAGAGACCAGGCCCTACTCTGTCCACCCTTCTACTCACTAAGTGACCAGTTCAGGATTTTATAATTAGCACCGGCACATTAACCTCAAACCCCAAAAACAGATTCACTCAGATTAGCAAAAGAACCGTAACTGTGCCTTAATTTATCAGGTCAGTTTGTACCGTATGTTAGTCTGGCCGTTTTCTTTCTTTTTTTTTTTTTAAAAGACGAGGTTTCACCATGTTGGTCAGGCTGGTCTTGAACTCCCGACCTCAGGTGATCTACCCGCCTTGGCCTCCAAAGTGCTTGGATTACAGGTGTGAGCCACCACGCCCGGCCTAGTCTGGCCATTTTCTGTGCTGGCTGGGATAATGCCAGCACTTTCTAGGTGAGTCAGAACCACAGAGAACACACTGCTAAGACAGACCTCACGTACACAACTGCACTCTCATCTCCACTGCTTTAAATATTTTCACACATTATACGAACCTTTAAGATGGAAAGTGAAAGCGATTTTGTCTTCAAGCAAGTGGGCCACCAGATGAACCAAATTAGAGAAATTCACAGCTGGCAAGTTTTCCAGGTCCCGAAATTTGTCCCATATGCTGAACTGGAAAGTCATCTAGTAGCGTAGTTAATAGAAGAAAAAAGGCCAACGGCTGCAAATTATTACAATACATCACTAAGAACATAACCTAAAGGTATTCTTTTTCCTATTATCTTATTTTTAATATTCTAAACATCAAGACTTTTAGTGGCGACCTCACTGTTCTTTCCTATCGAGCACAGTTCCAAACAGCTTCTCAACGATCTCTTTCTGCGGTGCGGTTTTTTCCCGCAAATCAGCAGACACCAACAGAATGTTCTAAGGCAAAGGCCACAGCGAGTGACATCAGAAGAGGCTGGTGCGGCATGAACTGGCGAGGAGCTCCTGCTGGCCACACACCACCTGCATCTGCGGCAGGAGAAGGCGAGCGACGTGAGGACACGGTGGACACGCAACGCTCCCCTGCAGCCACCCCACTTCCACTCTCAGGGAACGTGCCCTGGCGGCCAGTGTGGACCACGTGACTGGGACTTCAGGGGCCTTCTGACTTGGGAAACTCTTTTGCAGGTGGGTTGAGCCAGGCAGCATGTTTAGAAAAAACAGCAGAGCAGACGAAACTGGTGCCTCCGCACTAAGTTACCTGAAATCTCCTTTCATATTCACAGAATTTGCTAGCCAAGAAAGCGTAGAAGGGATTGTAAGTTTTCTCTTGAAGGCAGCAATCCATGAGAACATGAATGATTTCTCTCTCCTGCTGATCCTTAAGTCCAAGCCTAAAAAACAGAACAGCCATGACTGGAGTATCACTCAGCTTCCCAAGTTGAATGGCTGATACCTTTCAGAGGAACATCTTCCTGCCTGAAGGGTCTGGTTAGAGGTGAGCCAGGTAGGGGAGGTGGAGGCAGCAGTAGACATCAGCTAGGGTCCCAGCCCTGTCACAACCTCTCTGGTTGTGATGCGCCCAGCCACGTTTTTGTTTTTAAAACTTGAGTTAGGGGGCCGGGCGTGGTGGCTCACGCCTGTAATCCCAGCACTTTGGGAGGCCTAGGCGGGTGGAACACCTGAGGTCAGGAGTTCAAGACCAGCCTGGCCAACATAGTGAAATCCCATCTCTACTAAAAATACAAAACTTAGCCAGGTGTGGTGGCTCATGCCTCTAATTCTAGCTACTTGGGAGGCAGAGACAGGAGAATTGCTTGAACCCAGGAGGCGGAGATTTCAATGAGCCGAGATCGAGCCACTGTACTCCAGCTTGGGCGACAGAGTGAGATTCCATCTCAGAAAAAAAAAAAAGCCCAAAAAACTTGAGTTAGAGCTCACACGCAGTAAAACCTATCCTTTGTAGCACAGAGTCCTGTCAGTGTGGATAAGCCCATACAGTCAGGTCACCACTGCCACTGCCGAAACACAACTCCCCATCACCTGTGAGAACCCTGGGCCGGGAGCCACCCATCGTTGATCTGCTTTTGTCCCTCTGGTTTTGCCTCGGCCTATGTCACACAGATTCAGGGTAGCGTGGCTTTCAGCACTGGCAGAAGGCACTCAGGAGTCACTGTGCTGTTGGGGCCTTGGGAGTTTGCCCCTTGTGATGCCAAGAGTAATCAGTATCCCTCAGACTACGTCACGGTATATCCTTTCCCCAGCTGAGGGGCACGTGGGCTGTACGCAGTTTCTGGTGAGATCTGAATACAGCTGGGGCTGCCACCTCTGCACAGAGGCAGATGCTCCATACCTTAGGAGAGAAGCATCAGCTACACCGCAAAACAGCGCAGGCCCATGGAGGGCACTCAGGTGGAGGTGGCGCAGGCAGCCCAAAGGGCCAAGTGATTTCTGCTGCACTTTTTATCGATTCATGTTAAAAACTTAGATTCGTAATTCATGATTTTGACGAATAACAATGGGAAAAATTATTGTTTAATAAATGTAGTTTGATAGGACAAAATTTTCAAAACATGAAGTCAACCAGAGGAAAACTAAAAGTCCTTTCGAGTACAAAGGACAAGCTAGACCCGCTGACTAGTGAATCAGAGCTCTCCTCAAAAGAGCCCTTTTAGAGACAACAAGTAACTAGTGAGACAGGATGTATTCAGCACAACAGCAAGGCCACAGAGAGGCAAGGGAGGCTTAGGAGGTCCACTTCAACTAGGCACCCCAGTTTAGAAAATAAAACTCTAATGATCAGAATCCTAAAATGAACCATCTTTTCCCTGTATTTCATCCTAGTCTGAAGCAAATGAAAGAAAATGTATTAACATTAAAGTGTTTAGAAGTACCTCATAAAACTACACAGGTACATTTACAGGTTATTTATTTATTTATTTATTTATTTTTATTTTTATTTTATTTTTTTTTTTTGAGACGGAGTTTCGCTCTTGTTACCCAGGCTGGAGTGCAATGGCGCGACCTCGGCTCACCGCAACCTCTGCCTCCTGGGTTCAGGCAATTCTCCTGCCTCAGCCTCCCGAGTAGCTGGGACTACAGGCACGTGCCACCATGCCCAGCTAGTTTTTTGTATTTTTAGTAGAGACGGGGATTCACCATGTTGACCAGGGTGGTCTCGATCTCTTGACCTCGTGATCCACCCGCCTCGGCTGCCCAAAGTGCTGGGATTACAGGCTTGAGCCACCGCGCACGGCCTAGGTTATTTTTTTTAAAGAGATAGCGTCTCGCTGGAGCGGTCGCTCAAGCCTGTAATCCCAGCACTTTGGGAGGCCGAGGCGGGTGGATCACGAGGTCAAGAGATCGAGACCACCCTGGTCAACATGGTGAATCCCCGTCTCTACTAAAAATACAAAAAACTAGCTGGGCATGGTGGCACGTGCCTGTAGTCCCAGCTACTCGGGAGGCTGAGGCAGGAGAATTGCCTGAACCCAGGAGGCAGAGGTTGCGGTGAGCCGAGGTCGCGCCATTGCACTCCAGCCTGGGTAACAAGAGCGAAACTCCGTCTCAAAAAAAAAAAAAAAAAAAAGAGATAGGGTGTCAGTATGTTGCCCAGGCTGGTCTAGAACTCCTGGGCTAAAGTGATCCTCCTGTCTCAGCCTTCTAAGTAGCTGGGATTACAGGATCTTTAAAATCTTATTACAACTAATTACAGAAACTATACCAGGAAGTTTTAAATGAAGAATCAGAACAACTTTATTATAAAGATTTATGTTATGTTTAAGCAATTCATGGCCAGCAACAGCCTCTGAGAAGATCATCTAATTCTTGCAGTCAAAACTCCCCATCTCCAGCCTGGGCAACACGGCAAGACCCTGTCTCAATAAAACCCCCAAGCTCCTAAGCTTTACGTATCACATACTGTTCTAACGAGGAACCACTAGAGGCAGATTAACAGGAAGATGACTAAGGGATGCACAGACCTACCAGGGTGAGTGGATGGTAAGAAGCAGCCCAGCCCTCCCTAAGCAGTGACTCAGCCATTCAAAACTCAAAACTCACATCAACGTATTTCTTTTACGGCATCTCATTAGTAGGTCAAAATGTGCAAACAAATGCTTACTTTAGAAGCTTCTCAAAAGCATCCAGAAAATCTTCACTTGTCATTATTGTGCAGAATATGTTTCTCCTGATGTCTGTGTTCATCCTCTGCTTGCGGGCGAGTTCTAGGATCTTGGAGCTGACCTGAAAGCATGATTAATGAACACGTCACACACACGTCTCCACGCAAGCTGCTTCCTGAGAGACGCCGCACCGTACTTCAGTGTAACTGAAATCCAACCGTGAGGTCTACATGAGCATCTGAACGTCAGCACTAAGTCCACTCTTGGGCAACCCCCTGCAAGGGGAAAGCACAGTGAAGCCACAGCCAATGGGGAGAAAAACCACTCAATGTGGGAGACTTCTCAGTAGCGGTTCAACCTCAGGGTTAAGCAGTGATGTAATAAAACAGAGAACCGGTCACCAGCAGAGCCTGGGGAACCATGACCACCATGAGTGATGTGGAATCCTGGGACGGGGAAGGACGTGGCGGGAGAACGAGGGAGGTCTGGATTAGCTCTGGACTTGATTTCCACAATGTGAAACCCACGGTCTGTGGGCTGGCACGCACAGGACGGGAGGCAGCATGAGCAGTCTCAGGAACAGACGCCTGCTCAGCGAGCATTCAGATCCTCACAAGCTCCCGTCCCCTGCCATTCAACTTTCAGATCTTTTGCGTTTGTGTTTTGGGACTCTTAAAATCCAATAAAAGGAAGAACAGAAATGGAATAATTATATCACAACAGTAGTATTAACAGCAATTTCTCTAAAGCCTCCAAATAAACCTCGCAGGTTTCAGTAACCATTCAAGAACAGTAAGGGAGCAGCTCCAGGTGAAGCCGTGACCACACCACGCACCACAGAGGGGGTGCTGCCACCTGGCAGCCTTGAGCACAGGCGTCCCTACCGTCCCCGCAGGCTGCTTCTGCAGGTGCGTATGCTGACTGTTGTCAATCATCGGGGCCCCGCTCCAGGCAGACCCCACAATCCACCAGCGACCCGTCTGTTCCGCATTCAAGACGCTGTCCCAGGAGACACGAAGTTGAGTCTCAGAACCTGAGCCGGCATGGCGGACCTGATTGAGAGAGAAGAGCTAATGAAATGCTTTTAACTGGTTCATGTTCCATACTTCCATCACTGGTGGCTTTTTCTTTTTTGACTATGACATTTCTGGTGCATGAATACTGGAATGATCCATTGGCAATTGGGATGGTTAGCCTGTTTAGAACAACGCCAGAACTAGCAGTAAACTCAGTGTTTTGTGTTTGAGACACGTGTTTGGAAAGCTGCCCGAACAGGGGAGAGTGACGCAGCCGCCTCAGGCTCAGTGGCAGGCAGAGGACACGCCGGGAAGAGCCCGAGTCAATGACGATCTGGACTTGGGGTGACAGGGGCTGAGAGACTCTCTCTGACAGGGAGGCTGCTGGGTCTCCATCCTGGCTGCACGTCAGAGATAGCCAAAAAAACTAAGTCAGCCGGGCGCAGTGGCTCACGCCTGTCATCCCAGCACTTTGGGAGGCTGAGGCAGGTGGATCACGAGGTCAAGAGATCGAGACCATCCTGGTCAACAAGGTGAAACCCCATCTCTACTAAAAATGCAAAAATTAGCTGGGCATGGTGGCACGCACCTGTAGTCTCAGCTCCTCGGGAGGCCGAGGCAGGAGAATTGCCTGAACTCAGGAGGCGGAGGTTGCGGTGAGCCGAGATCGCGCCACTGCACTCCAGCCTGGGTAACAACAGCAAAACTCCGTCTCAAAAAAAAAAACAAAAACCTAAGTCATCCTGATTTTCTTGATCCGGGTGGGGCCTTGGCGTTCTCTGAAAGCACCAGATAATCCAATGGTGCAGCCCATGTTTAGCACCCGGGGTGAGGCGAAGAGGAATCTCGCCCATCGTGGGCTGCCCCACGCATGGACATTCTGCAGGAGTGAGCATGCCCAGACCACCAGGAGAGCCCCAAGGAAAAGCGGGCAGACTTCATGCTGCGTCTGAGCGCTCTCACTCACCAGACACTACCCTACTTGCAGGTCTGACTGTTTCTTGATTTTCACAACGGGCTCACGCTAACATAGAAGCTCTGAGCAAAGCAGCACTGCATGTCCCTTGGCTCACCAAAGCTCTCTGCAGCTTCCTCAGCTTCTCCACAGGCTCAGGATCGTAGCCTGGGATTTTACGCATGTCATTGTTCTTCAGGGCCAACATCGTCTCCAGCATAAACCGAATCTTGAAGAAAAATGAAAAATTAAAAGTCCACCGTTTCAAATAGTCTGAACTGCTCAAGTTGGCAAGAAATCTACCATACCTGATGCACCTGGCCACCACTGCTAAGATACAAAGTCAGAACAGGTCTTTAGGTAGAGATGGTCTGAACCAGCCTCACCGCTTACTCGTTACGTAATACTTTAAGAGAATGTGTCCCTCAACCTCACCCTCACTTTTCCCTTCTGCTTGCCATACCTCACCTGTCTGCACCGCCCACCCCCCGCTGGCCATCTCGGCCCCTCCTGTGCTCCTGCGCCCACCCCAGCCCCTGGCGACCTGTGTGGACACCCTCTCCCTACCACTGGCCTTGTGATTTTAACTTTAAAACTGGAAATAATGTCCTACTTATAGAAAAAGGAGGACATTATTGCAAGAACAGCACAAAGAATTCCCCCATACCCTCTGAGATATCCCCAAATGTCAACTTCTTATTGATACAGAATTCACATCCATAAAACTCACCCATGTATCAGGTGGCTTTTAGTTTATTCAGAATTGTGCAACTACCACAGTCAACTTCAGAACTTTCTCATCGCCCCAGAAGAGAAACTCCAAACCCGGTAACAACTGCTTCCTAGTTCCCCCAACTCCGCAGCCCTAGGCAGCCACTCCTCTACTTTCTGTCTCTTTTCCATTTTAAACCATTTTCCATTTAACCCGCCGCTCCCCTTCCATTCTCTAGCCTCTCCTCTTTACAGACTGGCTTCTTCGGTGACCAGGATAGGCCAGTAGGGACCACTGTCACAATTTAGCCCAAAATGCAAATCCCTTCTTCCTCTTGCTGGTCCTTAGCATCCCACAAGGGCATGAATTCTTCCTGGGGACACTAGGGGAACCAGCTCCCGGGACTGTCCTCATGTCCTCCTCCCTCTTGATGCCTTCTCATTCTCACCTGCCAGCTCTCCCTCCTCCCTGTAGCTACACGTCAGTGCTCCTTAACCTTACAGTCCTCTTCACAGGCCACCCCACGCCAGGCGAGTCCACCCACTTCCATGGCTCCTAGGACCCCCTCTACGAGAGCAGCCCCGAATCCATTCAGCCCACTCCGTTCACAGCTAACTCAGGACCTTTAATTTCAGTCTTTCAAAAACGAAGCTGCCCATTCTTCTAAATCCTCACCTCCTCCTGCACGGCCCCCTGTGCCCGACGGGTGATCCTGAGCCCTCCTTCCCTTCACCCCAATCCACATGAGGTCTGGTCACTTCTAAGGTCCACGTCCACACCTGCTGCCACGATGCCAACATTTGCCACCACCCACTCCCCAGCTCCTGCAAAACTCTCTCCTACCCCAACTGCCTCACGCCTCTTTCTACTTGGAGTCAAAGTGACCATCAGAAGGAAAACTCCAACCTGTCATTTACCTGCTCGGAACCCTTTAGAGGCCTCTAGGATAAAACCCTCAGTTCCCTGCAGTAATTAACAAGGGTCCGGAGACCTGGACTCTGCCTTTTTCTCTTGTGATGCCCCCTCACGGCTCTCACACTAACCCTTCTCGTGTTCCTCCCCAAAGGGCTTCCACACATCTCGTCATCTGAACGGCACACAAAGTGGGAGCTGTCATTAGTCCCCATTTTACGGGGTGTGGGTACTGAAGCTCAGAAGATCCAGCTTATGCTACCGTTAAGTGGCAGAGCTGAAGCCCAACCCAGGCTGACCCTAGAGTCCCATGTCCTGTGGCCTCCTCAGTAAATATTTTTTGAATAGATGAATGTTAAATAAATCAATTTTTAAATTCACAAAATATTTTTCTGAGTTCTTAGTAAAGGAATAAGGTTCATTCACATATTAAAGCCAGAAAACTGGATGAAACAGAGACAACAGAAATCATGAGGAAAGGAAGTGTAACATGTACCCCAGATACTGATTTTTAAGTCCTGGCCAGTGTGTGAGCTTAGGGACTTAGGAAGCAGACTGCATGTCGCACGCGTACCCTGGTCTGGTCCTGAAACTTGCCGCCTGCGCTGCTGGCTCTGGTCTGGGCTTCAGCGATCAGTTCCTTGAGTGATAAAGCATCATCTTTTCTCAATGAAAAGCCCACAGTTTTCAGCATTAACAAGATCAGTTCAATATCTTTTTCAGTGAAAGTTCCAGTAAGTTTTTTCAAAATGTCGAAGACGAGGCGAGACTGCACCACATGGAAGTTGTATAAATGCGCAATAATGGTGAACAGGTTGTCACATTCTTTCCCTTCGCTTCCGTGTTTATAGACGTCATCAAACTTCCTCACCACCGCCTCCAGAAAGTGAGCACCGACCTGAAAGAACCGTACAGAAAAAGGGTCATTATGCTATTCCTGGAAACCTTCGTTTCTACTTCAACAAACAGAACCGGCACTGTTTAAACTAACAAAACGTCAGGCAGGGCGTTTCAACAAGGTATCCCCCGGCAACCCAGAGCCGGCGGCCACGGCGTCCCAGCCTGGACACGAGCGCACCGTGCTCTTGTTAAAATCAACAGTGAAGGGGAATGGTTTTGCCAGCCACTGTTCTGACTCCTTGGAAAAATAAAACTGTTAAAAATCTTGTTAAAAACACATCTATAGCTCTAAAAATGTTCTACCACCTAACAATAATCACTTCTGGAAAGACTTTTTGCGGATTTTTACCCCAAATTAATTTCTTTCAAGGCAGCAATAAAGCAGACAGATAAACATAACACATTCTGAAGTAATACCAGAGGTTGCCAAGTAGACAAACACTTAGGAATCACGAGAGGGGACCCAGGTGCCGTGGAGGAGAGCTCCTGCTTTCCCAGGGTTGAGCCTCTGGCACTAGAGTAGCTTGTGAATACACTCACTTGGCTCAGCCAGTGGTTTGAGGGGCACTGACCAGGCCCTGATGGGGACCAGGGGCAAGCCACACCCTGCCCTGAGGGACAGAACTGGGGCCAGGAAGTGCCAGGCCTAGTGGAGCTAAGCAAGGCCTACAGCGTTTTCCTCACACTGTTCTGGTACATTCTACCCCAGGTTCCATAACTGTGGACTGCAAGATGAGAAGACATGCACGTGGCACACTCTATCCCAAACTCCGTAACTGGGCACTGAAGGATGAGACCTGCACGTGGGTCTGTGTGGTATCTGGCAAGGTCCTGGACTTCGAAGATAACAACACTTGAGGGCAGAAGAGTGGTTTGCAATCTTGCTGGCATCGTTACCATGTCACCATTTTCTCTCAAATCTCAACTTAAGCTGGGACTGGAGGGAGAAGGCAGAAGCAGGGACATGGTGGTGACACAGAGTGACACCCACAGCCTAGGCAGGAGGTGACGGCCTAAATAAAGCAGTTGCGCTGGACCAGGGATGAAGGGGCTGGCGACCACAGTGACACATGGCAACGTGTGACACTGGCTGTAAAATTGAAGGGTCTGTGACTCCCCGGTTTCTCGTCTGGGTAACCAGGAACTATGTGAGGGGCAGCAGGCTCCTGGGGCTGGACAAAACCAGCTTAGGGGTTGCTGAAGCTTCCACAGGGCCATCCAGGCAGGACTGGATGGAGACGTGTAGCGTGTCAGTGAAAATCACAGGCAAGGCTGAGCTCCACCATTCAGGCTTGAGTGTAATGGGAAGTACACACACATCATTGCCGGACTGCCAAAAATTCAACGCTAGAAGAATCCAAAGAAAGGCCAACAGACCTGCAGGGGCCACAGGGACTTTCTTAGAGGCTGGCCCTGATGGACCTGATATACCCTTCAGTTTGTAAAGACCCGAGACGTAACCAAGACCACGTGTACTTTCCAATTCAAGCCCTTTCAATGAAGAGAAACGGAAAGATATAGTCTATTATGGCTACCATGTTATATTCAGCTATAAGTTTTAAAAGTAAATTAGACTTCTGCAGACATCAAGAAAAATCCAGCCATAAATTACATCCAAATTTCTCAAAATTCTAATCTGAAGTTCCATGTAATGTCTTCAAAATAAAATATAACAGCATAACATTTAAGAATATTAAGTAAAATTCATGTTAGTAAAGTTATCCAAGCAGATACTGTACATTAATTCTGATGTGGAAATTTGAACATGAATCTGTATAGAGGGTGTCTTTTGAGTTCTATATGACTCACAGAAGCAATTCAGCAGCTGACACCTTCGTCTTTAACACGGAATGCTTTTCGCAGCCCAGCACTGAAGGCAGCGGAACGGAGCCGCATCCTGAACACTCATCGCACACTGGCAGAAACTTCCGTGGATGTCATTAACTAAAGTACTATAATGACTTCCCCTCAGAACAAGCCATTTCATTGTCCTTCATGCAATTAGCAGAGGTTTAAATGAAAGCAGGCCCAATAATTTCATGTTTTCCAATCCAGTCAATTCCTGATGTGCTGTGGGTGGTCAGGGTCTACAGCTTTTCCTGTAACTCACTGATACACTGCCTGCACTAAGATCATTCTGATGATTAAGTCAGCTGAAGCATACCAGTGTCCTCTAGGACAGGGAGATACCAAGAAAGTCATAGAATGGGCTGGAATCATGGTAATCACAGGGCCCAGGAACGGCACCCAGTGATTCCATCACTTTGTAATGGCGAGAAAACAGACTCCTATGTTCTCATACATGAAAACGAGGACAGCTCTTAGAAACACAAAATAACAAGAGTGTTCCCAAAGCAGCAGGTGCAGACTTTCACATCTGAGATGACCCATGTAGCTGAGAAGAGTCCTGCACCCAGACACTCAGGCCCGTGCTCCTCTCTCCTGCCCTCAGCTTCACAATGCCCCACAGGCCTTAGAGTCGCCACCTTTCAAGAAGCAGCCATGTGACTACTGCTAGATATGGAAAAATGTGGATCAGAAAATTATCCAGGAACAGCAAGGAGATTTGCAGTGGCAGAAAAAGCCAGCCAGAGGAAGAGCAGAATTTCAACATGAAAATCCCTCTCTGTACATAAAGAGCAACGAGCCTTCAATGAGCACTTACTGCGGCCCAGCTCTTTTCTACGCCTGACATGAACTAAGTCGTTAACCTAACGACTGGACGAGGCATGGACGCCTCGAAGTGAAACAGCCCATGCACGGCACAGCACCTTCTGCACTCAGGCACCGTCCCCCACACCACACGGCCTTCAGGAAGCCCCAGTGACAAGAAGGCAAATTCATTTCGGCAAATCTGCGCATTTAAAGCAAGCTTTGGAGAGTCCCACTCTGTAAGACTAAATAATTTTAAGATTAGAATTGAGAGAAAATAATGTAAAAATGAAACGAATGTGACTAGCTTTGAAGGAGAAAGCATGTTTGCCTAGGAGCCCAGAAAACAAGTTCTGTGTATTTTTTTTTTTTGAGATGAGTTTTGCTCTTGTTGCCCAAGCTGGGGTCCGCAACTTCCACCTCTCTGGTTCAAGCGATTCTCCTGCCTCAGCCTCCCGAGTAGCTGCGATTACAGGTATGTGCCACTAGGCCTAGCTAATTTTTATATTTTTAGTAGAGACAGGGCCTCACCACGTTGGCCAGGATGGTCTCGATCTCTTGACCTCGTGATCCGCTCACCTCGGCCTCCCAAAGCACTGGGATTACAGGTTTGAGCCATTGTGCCCAGCCAGTTCTGTGTACTTTTAACAAGATTGATCTTGGAATTTCACACAGCACTTCAGTGGCTTTGCCTGCTGCACCACAAAGCAGGGTTCAGTAAATGTCTGCCCTGATCTCACCGGGACACCGTGGGGTCAATGGTGAGGAAGATACACAGTATATAAACATGCACCCAGGAATTAGCCTTTTAGGGACGCTGTGCTGCTATGGCCTATGTTTTGGAGTCCAGCTGCCAGAAGGCACAAAACTAAGAAAACCACCATCAAAAAAGACTGTATCTCCTTAGGCACTACCGTGGGATTAAAAAAAAAAAAAAAAAGACTGTATCATTTAAAGATCCAAATGGGTTAAAGACTGCATTTGCATGTAAATCCTGTACCGACCCAATCACGCACTCACTCACCTACCGCTGAACAAACACCTTTAAGCAGATTGACTTCCTTCAACACACCTGAAATAAGCTACCTTGAGGGAACTGGGATATTAACTAGAAGGGTTCTGGCTTTCCTGTATTCAGTTAAGAGAGAACAGATGCAGAGGAGGGCAATGACTGGAACCAGGGTCATCAGCAAAGAGCCTCCCTGGCTTTAAACACCAGGGGTTCATTCAGCAAAGAAGAAAACGAAAGGGATGTGGGGTGGGGCGGACATTCACTTAGCACCTGTCGAGTGCCAGACGCTTCCTGTACACTGTTGAATTCAATCCCAACAAAAGACCACTTCACTGACAAGAAAGGGTCATGACACAGAAAGGGCACCAGGCCTCCAGGCAGCTTCATACCCCAGAGCTCTCACATCACCCACCAACACCTCAGGAGCGAGACAACGCCAACCATGACCTTCCAAACATCTGAAACAAATCGGTGTTAAAGGAGAAGTGCAAAGGGAATGAGGACACGCCTGAGCTGTGTCCAGAAGAAAATTAACATAGAAAGACATGCTAGACTGCACAGAACAGGGCTGGGAATAGCGGCTCCTGCCTGTAATCCCAGCACATTGGGAGGCCAAGGCAGGAGAGCACTGGAGCCCAGGAATTTGACACCCGCCTGGGCAAGAGAGTGAGACTCCACTTCTGCCCCCTGCCCCTGCCAAAAAAATTAGCCAGGCATAGTGGCGTGGGCCTGCAGTTCTAGCTACTCTGGAGGATGAGGCGGGAGGATCACTTGTACCTGCAGCCACTGAGCTCCAGCCTGGACAACAGAGTGAGTCTCTGCCTCAAAAAAAAAAAAAAAAAAAAAAAAAGCAAAGTTAAGCAAAATCAAGTACTTCCTGAATGCTTTTTACAATTACATAACATAGACAATGTAGTATTGATTCAGAACAAACAGGAATTAACACAAGAAAACCAGCCACAGCACACAGTTACGCACTTCTCAGGCCTATCATTAGAATCATCATCATGAGACACTGCTGATAGTCTGGAGAAAAGGTACCACAGTACCTCAATTCCAACCGTGTGGTGAAGGATGCTGACTAAGAGAACATGCTCCATCATCAGTCTGCTGGGCATGGCTGAGGCAGTGACGCAGGCACCCATGAGGGCGGAGGTCAGGGTGTCACTCATGTCCTTCCTGCTGTGGGTCATGTAGAGCTCCTCCAGCTGCCCGCTGATGGAAGCCATGTTGGGTTCACTCAGCCTGCAGAGAATCGTAAAGACAGAAAGCAACAATGTTTCCAATTAGGAATTTTCAGTTCAATTTTGAAAAATTAAGAGTTATCAATATCAAAAATATATGTATTTATATATACAAGATGCACACCCACATACCCTTAATTCTTCATATATATATACACATATATACATATATATATACACATATATACATACATATATACTCACATATATATATACACACACATATATACACATATATATATATATATTTTTTTTTTTTCCAAGTTTCACTCTTATTGCCCAGGCTGGAGTGCAATGGTGCAATCTTGGCTCACTACAAACTCCGCCTCCTGGGTTCCAGGGATTCTCTTGCCTCAGCTTCCTGAGTAGCTGGGATTACAAGCATGAGCCACCACACCCAGCTAACTTTTGTATTTTTAGTAAAGACGGGGTTTCACCACATCGGTCAGGCTGGTATCAAACTCCCGACCTCAGGTGATCCACCAGCCTCGGCCTCCCAAAGTGCTAGGATTATAGGTGTGAGCCACCATGCCTGGCCAATGTATTCTATTTTTATGTACATTTTTGATCCTTTAACAGTTCTATTCTTGCCCCAACAACCCAGCCTGTATCATTTGTAACCACAGAATATCTGGAACGCCAAACATGTAACTGCTGTCTTCACAATATGAAGTGTGGCCATACTGAGGCATACCCTAGATTCTCTTTAGTAGCTGAGGATACTCCCCTGCATATCCTGATCCGATAACCCCATAGGCAGGGTCCAGCCTTAGGATGTGGTGGTAGGAAAAATGCTAACTTTTTCATTTCTCAGGTGGCAGAAAAATCCTCAGTTCCTAACACCGGAAAAGGTTGCTCTGTTTGAACGTGGGGGGAAGGTTCTTCATTGTGCACCTGTGCAAATACTGCACGCAACATTCAAGTGGAGGGTGACAGTACCTTTCCAGGATAACAGGAAACCAAAAGCAATACAAGGGAGAAGGGGATTGGGTGAGCCCATGGAGGGGCAGCAGGAGAGATGGTGGGGACTCAAATCTTCATGTGATAAAACTACACAGAATCACATGCGTACACATAGAGTTGCACACACACACCCTCAAAACCAAAGAGCTGATGGGCAGGCACAACTGATGAAGCCTCACCTGTATGGTTTCCAATCAGTTTGTAACAACAAAGTACAGACATGAGCAATGAGGGGGAGGGAAGACCAGGTGAATATGTTTCTGCAAAGACGGGACCCAGGCCAGTCCTTCCATCGCTGTCCTTCGACGGACACAGAACCTCTGCCCCATTCCTTCCCACTTCTTGGAATAACAATGTGAGCATCTGGGGACTCTCAAACCCTGAAGGGATTCAAAGTGTCCAACAGTTGGGTATCCTCTCCTTCTCAAGGTACGGGTCTGGGTGCCTCAAGACAAGGACACAAACAATCCAACCGACTGTCCCCGTCATTTCTATTTGAATTGCTGGGTTGATTCCCACATTTTTAGAAAACAGACAACCTCTTTAAGTGACACAATGTAACAGTACTGCAAGGTCACCTGTTAAGTAGACCTTTCACATGTTTCCTCAGCCTTTCTAGTTCTTCCTTTTTCTTGAAGTCCACTGTTTCCTCAGCTCGCCTCACATGAGGTGGGACATACTTTTCACCACTTTCACAAAGACCCTGCTTGAAAACAGAAATAGATTACAAAAAATTTACACTACCCAAATCCCGTCTTTTTCTTTGTCATATGTGCTTTCAAATACTAAATTCGCAAGAACTGGTGGAAGCTACTACCAATCACTGCTGCTTACAAACACCTGATTTGAGTGCTTAGCACATGGGTAAACAGTCCGCTCAGCAGCCTGTGCCTGTCACTCTTTCCATTAATGTTATTAATAATACATTTCATCGTCTCGCTTCCCCCTGCAGTTCTTCAGACCGAGCTGTGCACCTCTGGTATATGTCCATCTCCAACAGAGTCCCATCTACTGCACTTTTGCCCAGCCTTAATTTACTGCTGGCACCGTAGCATACAAACACCTAAATTAAAACATACCGCTAGTTTTGGAGGGAAAGTGTCCTAAAAATAATTTAAAACTTGTTTAAAAGTAGTATCTAAGTTTGTATGATAAAAATCAAAATCAACTCACTGCTATTTCCTAGATTACCAAGGTGGGGGGGGGGTGGTGTTTGCAAATCATTGACGACACAGACATTTTTAAGGCAGGATCCGCACTGCTAGGTAGTTTAAACCTGGTTCAGTAAAGAATATTTACATAAATGAACTAGTGCGATGTGGGGAAAAGGAAACGCAGGCCATTCTATACAGCTGACTCCAACCATGAGCTACAGGCAAAGGAAAGCTGAGACAAAATAAGCAAGGGCAGCCCATGAAGACCTTGACAGCTACGTCCTGAATTCTTAACTTCATCTTTATTTATTCTTTCTTTGAAACAGTCTTGCTCTGTCGCCCAAGCTGGAAGACAGTGGCGCAATCTCGACTCGCTGCAACCTCTGCCTCCCTGGTTCAGCCTCAGCCATCCGAGTAGCTGGAATTAAAGGGGCGCGCCACCACGCCCGGCTATTTTTTCTATTTTTAACACAGACGGAGTTTCACCACGTTGGCCAGCCTGGTCCCAAACTCCTGACCTCAAATGATCCGTCCGTCTCGGCCTCCCAAAATGCTGGGATAACAGGCGTGAACTTTATCTTTAATTCAATGTTGGACTTTATCCAAGGAAGTGCTGCAAATTAGCTTTGTGTTTTAGAAAATTCACTCTAGAAGCAAGTCGGACCGGCAGATGTCTTTGGATATTTGAAAGAGGCCTGAACAGACCGGGTCGGGGTTAACAAGTTTAGAGACCTGGACCGGTAAACACAGAATGAAGATGCCGCATTGTGGAAATGGCCCGTAAGTCCCCGGAAGAAAAATGTCTCTCTGTATTGCTTTTCCCCTAAACTTTACATTACGAACATTTAAACACATAAAAGTTGACTCAAAAGAGTAACTTACTTGATTTACTCACATTTAGCTGAAACCATTATCAATACGCCAAGTCTGCGTCATTTCTGTCCCACGCTCCCTCCCTGCCCCGTTATTTTGAAGGAAATCCCAGAGGGCCTAGAGAGTGTTCACCCGATACCTGATCGGTCACGTCGCCGTTCTCCGAGGAATTCTCACTCTTTTCTTCATCATCATCTGCAAAACGGACTCTCCTCCCCCTCCTTTTCTCCCGCGCTCCCTCCTCCTTTTCTTCCCCCTGTTCCTGTTCCAAATCCTCGCCGTCGTCGTCGCTCTCCGCTTGCAGCGCCTTCTCTTCCTTTTCTATGTCCTCCTCTTCCTCGCCCTCCTCGCTTTCGTCCTGGGAGTCACTCTCCAAGTCACTTTCGGGGAGGTTCCGTCCGGCATCTTCCTCCTCCTCCTCCTCCTCACCACTGCTGTCGTACAAGCCGCTATTTTTCTCAGACTCCAGGGCTCCCAGAATATAGTCGAGCCCGTCGCGTGCAAAGCTCAGCGGTATGGAGCCGCCGCCGTCCTTCTTTTTACGCTTGTTCAAGCCGAGGCAACGCTCCAGCTTTCGGATCTCTCGGTCCTCCTCCTCGTTGGCCGCCAGAAGCGCCCGTTTGCGGGCAGCGGCGGTGGCGGCTGCGGAGGGTCTGGGCTTCCCGGGAGGGGCCTGGGCCTTGGCCCTGGCCCGGGACGGCCGCGGCTCCTTGGGAGGCGAGGGGTCCCGACTAGGAGCCGGGCGGGCGCGCTCCTCTGTGTCCCGCCGGGCACCACTCGCTTCTGCGGCTCCGCCTCCGGGGCCGGGACCCTGGTGGGGGCCCGCCGACCTCTGCAGCCGGCGCGCTTTCCGCAGGTGCCGCTTCTCCTTCCTCAGTTCCTTGCGGCTTTTTCTCCCTCCCGGGCGGAAGCGCACCGGGGCGCCGCGCCCCTCCGCAGCTCACGGGAGCCTCGCCCTCCGAGGTCGCCTGCACGAACTCTTCCACCGCTAGCTTGAGCCTCTTCAGGACCTTCTCCCCACCGCCGCCAGGACCGCGGCGCGACCCGCGGCAGCCTCTGCGCTTCATGCGGGCCGCGCGTCCCCGGGATCCGCCCTGACCGGGCTCCACCGTGTTCCCGGACGCCGCCATCTTTCCAGACGCCCGGGCGCCCCACTTCCGGCCCGGGCGGGACTTCCGGGGAGAGCGGCGGCCGCGCGGGGAGGGCGGGCGGCGTCGCGGGCGGCGCCCCCTGCTGGCAGGAGGGCGGCAGAGCGCAGGGCTGCGCCGGGCGGGGACTCGGGCTGCGGGGGCGGCCGGGCAGGTGGCGGCCGGGCAGGTGGCGCCCGGGGCGGGCGGGCGGGGAGCGCGGAGGCGCCTTCGCGTTTAAAAGGGAAATCCCCGGATGGTGGAGGGGCGGCTCCCCTGCGGCCTCGTGGGCCTCGCGCGGGGCCGGGGCTGGCGGCGGCGCTGGGGTGCGCGGGCCCCGGGAACGCGACCCCGTTAGGAAATCGGGCCTTCGCAGCGGTGGTCGGGACGGGGCCGCGCTGGGTCGGGGCCGCCCCGGTCCGGTGCCCGCCGTTCTCCTGAGAAGCGGGCTCTGGACTCGGACCGCGGAGACGCCTGCGGCCCCGGGCGACCGCGGACCGTGGAGGACCCGGCCCCGCCCAGCCTGGGCCCCGCCCGGGCGCGGAGCGTTCGCGGTTCCTGGTTGCGGGAAGCGGACTCGGAGGCCGCGCGGCCTGGCCGGGCGGAGCGGGGGGCGGCGGGGCTGCGGCGGGGTCCGCTTCTCTTCCCGGACGGCTCCGGAAGCTTCCTTCCCGCAGAGCTCGCGCCCTTGACTTTGTGGATCGAATGTGTCGTGGTCACTGTTTCTCGAGGCCCGGTCTCCCCGCACTGCCCGGGCTGGCGCGCGGCGGCGTGACCCCGGCTCCCCGCGACCCCCGCCCCCCGGGTGCGAACGGTCCTCCGGCCTCAGCCTCCCCGGTAGCTGGGACTGCGCGCGCCACCTCGCCGGCCGGGGATGGTGTTTCACAGCAGAGATGAGGTTTCACCGCGTTGGCCAGGCTGGGCTCGAACTCGTGACCCCTGACCTGCCCACCTTGGCCTCCCAAAGCGCTGCGGTTACAGGTGCGAGACACTGCCCCGTCCCCTTCCTTGCCTTTAAAATGTTTTTAGTTTTCGCCAGTTTGTCAGCTCATAACGGCCTCTTGTCCTTCAGTTCCTGATGAGAGTGGGTGTCACTGTCCACCGGCCGTTGGTATTTCCTCCTCTGTTTATGGCCGTCGTCCATTTTCCTTATAGGTTTTAGGAATTCTTTTTTAAATATAAGATTTAATATATGTCTCTGTTAAATGTATTTTAGTCTCTCTGTGTTGCCAGGCCGGTCTCAAACTCCTAAGCTCAAATCCCAGAGTGCTGGGGTTATAGGCATGAGCCACTGCACCCAGTGAGCAATTCTTTACAAATAAAAAATTTTGAATAATCCTCTGTATCGCCTATGTTCAAATATTTTCTTCTCTCAAAAATTTAAGGTACTTTAAAAAATCAGTAGTTTAATTTTTAATAAGCAATATACTCTGTGCAGAGTCTAAAATTCAAAAGTGCAAAAAGAGATAAATGAAAAGGTCAGTTTCCATGCTGTCCCTGTCCACACGCCACTCAGTTCTCCTTCCGTGAAGCGGCAATACCTCGTTCTCAAGTGATCTTCCCAATACATTCTACCCTCAGTGAAGCATAAATATGGGTGTGTGCTGTGTCTCACGGTGCTAGTTTAGGAAACACTGTTCAGCATCTTACTTTTTTCGTGTAGCAATGTATCTTGTAGAACATCCTGCAGCAGAGGGAGCGACCGATGGACCTTCCCTGCCACCATCACCTCTGCCTGGATTATTGCAGAGGCTTCTGTGTCATCCCCCCACTTTCATCCCCTCAACCCTTCAGTCTGCCCTCAGCATGGCAGCCACAGGCACGCTTTTGCTTTTGCTTTTGCTTTTGAGATGCAGTCTCGCTCTGTCGCCAGGCTGGAGTACAGTGGCGCGATCTTGACTCACTGCAACCTCCACCTCACAGGTTCAAGTGATTCTCCTGCCTCAGCCTCCCGAGTAGCTGGGACTGCAGGCATGCGCCACCGTGCCCAGCTAATTTTTTTCTATTTTTGGTATAGACGGGGTTTCACCATGTTGGCCAGGATGGTCTTGATCTCTTCCCCTTGTGATCCACCTGCCTTGGCCTCCCAAAGTGCTGGGATTACACGCATGAACCACTGTGCCCGGCTAGGCATGATTTTAAAATACGAAAATAGGATCACATGGCTGCGTGCCGGCTCACTCTCCAGGAATCCTGGTGGTCCTGCTGAATCTCTCCTCATCTCCTCCTCTCCTGACCCTGTCTCCCCCTGCTTCCCCCTGCCCCACTGCGCACGGGCTTCTGGTGGTTTCTGATTCCAGCCTTGCTCAGATGTCTTGGCGAGTCCATCCTGATGGTCCGTCTGAGGCTGCAGCAGCTGCTGCACCCTCGATCCTATTTCCCTGGTACTTCCCTCCCCGTTTGACTTATGTGTTTGTTGTCTCCTTGTCACCAGGGCACGACTTCTGGTTTGCGGATTTGTCCCCAGGGTGAGTGGCACTCGATAAATAGACGTGAATGAATGGATGCTTTATTTTTTGTTGGCTGCAGAGTCGGTGATGGAGAGGCCGTCTGTCATTCCGTGACGCAGCCCCTGCGGATAGTTTTTATTTCCCACACAGTCATACTAAAAATGATGCTGCAGCGAGTGGCTTTCCATGCACAGCGTTTCATGTGAGAGTATACTTTGAGGGGTATATTCCGAGAAGTGTGTGGATTCTGAAGCTGATGGTGTGTATTTTGTAAATTTGATAAATGTTGCTTAAGGACCATCCATGGAAGTCGTGTCAATGAATGAAAGTTACGAAACTTAACGTGATGGGAGAAAAACATCTCATTGAGTTGAATTTGCATGTTTCTTAGTGAAAGTGGAGCTGATCATCCTACATAGGCTTGTGAGCCACTTCCATTTCCTTTCTGCAAAATTGTGGTTCATATCCTTTGCCCATTTTTTGATGGTTTATGACTGTCTTTTTCTTACAGAAGCTCTTTACATATTAAGGAAATTGGCTGTTATTCACGACATATCGCAAGTATGTATTTTCTCTAGTTGACTAGTTTTATTTTTATTTTTTGCCTTTTAGGATTAAAAATCTTTTTGCATTGTCTAAATTATCAGTCTTTTATGACTTCTAAAGTTTTTTTATACTTTGAAAACGCTTCCCACTCAAATTTTTATTTTAAAGTTTATTTTAAATTTTTTAAATTAAAATTAAAATTTAATTTAAATTAAATTTAAAATTTTTATTTTAAATTTTTATTTTAAAGTTTCCTCCCCTTCCTTTTAGGGATGGAGATTCTCTTGATGTTGTCCAGGCTGTAATGTAATGACTCTTCAGAGGCAGGATCATAGCTTATGGTGGCCTCAAACTCCTGGGCTTGAGTCATCCTCCCACCTCAGCCATCATGCCCAGCTATTTTTATTGTTATTTTTTAAGGGATGCTATGTTGTGTAGACTGGTCTCAAAGTCCCGACCTCAAGTGGTCCTCCTGGCTCAGCCTCCTGAGGAGCTGAGATTATAGGCGTGAGCCACCATGCCTGGCTCCTAAAATGTTTAATCTTTGACCAACATATTTTTAATTTTGATGTATAAAACAAGGTAAGGCCAACCTTTTTTTCCCCCAGAAAATGTTAATGCCAATATATTTTATGGAAAAATCTGCCTTTCTCCACCAATTTCAAACACCACCTTGAAATACAGCAGAGTTTTAAAAATGTATTTGAGACTATCTCTGGGTTTTCTGTTCTTTTTCCTAATCTTCTGCATGTGTGTGCCTCCGTGCTCTAGACTTTACTATTACGGCTCTATAATGTAGTTTAATAGCATTCCTTGTTACTCTTCATTTTCATAATTTTTCTATTGATTTTTTTCTAAAAAGTGAACTTTATTTTTCTGTTTTTGGAGATGGGGTCTTGCTCTGCTGCCCCGGCTGGAGTGCTGTGGCACAATCATAGCTTACTGCAGCCTCACCCTTCTGGGCTCAGTGATGTTCCCTTCTCAACTTCCCAAGTAGCTGGGACTACAGGCGCGTGCCACCATGCCTGGCTAATTTATTTCATTGTTTGTTTTTCGTATAGAGGAGGTCTCGCTGTGCTATGCAGGCTGGCTTCAAACTCCTGAGTGCCAACAGTCCTGCCTCAGCCTCCCGAGGTGCGGTGATGACCAGTGAGAGCCATTGCACCCAACGTAAAGAGTGAAGTTTAGGCCGGGTGCGGTGGCTCAAGCCTGTAATCCCAGCACTTTGGGAGGCCGAGGCGGGTGGATCACGAGGTCGAGAGATCGAGACCATCCTGGTCAACATAGTGAAACCCCGTCTCTACTAAAAATACAAAAAATTAGCTGGGCATGGTGGCACGTGCCTGTAATCCCAGCTACTCAGGAGGCTGAGGCAGGAGAATTGCCTGAACCCAGGAGGCGGAGGTTGCGGTGAGCCGAGATCGCGCCATTGCACTCCAGCCTGGGTAACAAGAGCGAAACTCTATCTCAAAAAAAAAAAAAAAAAAAAGAGTGAAGTTTAAAATTAACGTTTGTCCATGAAAAATCCTGTTGGTATTTTTAACTGGAGTTGTGTTTAATTTGTGGACTAAATTGGGAAAAACTGGAATATTTATGCTGTTAAATCTTCCTCTCAAAGGACAGTGTATGCCTTCCATGCATTCAGGCAGTCTCTGTTCTCTTCACGTAGGGTGTCCATAGGTTTCTTGCAGAATTGATTCTTAAGTGTCTTATCAGTGGGATCATTACATCTTCTAACGTGTGAGAAAGCTGTGTGCTCATCTAAAACTCTGGGCCGCTGCTACTAGAGAATGCGAGAAGAATGGATGTTGGGGACAGTCAGGTCTCCCTGTCCCTACCTTCTCTTTTCCAACTTATATGTCTCATTTTTCACCTGTTTAACTGCCTGGATAACTCCTGTGGCGTAGGTGTCCTGGTGTCTGGGAGGAGGAGGGAGAGGGGAGTGGCCTGGAGAAGGATGTGGCAGAGTTGGGGGGATGGGGGAACCCTGGCTCCGAGGGACATTTC